TTTTTTTTTTTTTTTTTTTTTTTTAATAGTAAAAAGTTAGATAAAGGCAAGGAAAGAGAAGTTGTCGAGGAGGTTAATAACGTAACAGAGGAATGGTAATAATAAATTTTTTTAACCGAAAAAAAAATTATAAACTTAAATTTAATTTAATTTGTAATTTAGGGTAGAAGATTATATAAGAAAATTAGAAGAAGAAAATAAAATTTTACGAGAGAAGTTGGATAAGGAAAGAGCGGATAGAAGTTTAAATGAAATTTTGACAGAAGGGACATTGAAAGTAGCAGATAGAAGATATAGGGAGTTAAGTGCAGCAAAGGAATCATTTGAGTTGGGATATAATATTTTGAGAAGAGATATGCGAGAGTTGTTGGGAGTAATGGACATTAGAGCAGAGACTAATAGAGATCATTAAAGACTAAGAATAAAATATGATTTGGAGGAATTTGGTGAAGAAGAGGAAGAAGAAACTGAAGAAGAGAAAGAATTGGAAGAAACTATGGAAGTTTGGGAAGAAGAAGAGGAACAATCTCAAAAGCTCTATGAAGCCTTGTTGAAGAAGGAATCAGAAAGTAGTCATGAAGAATTGGAAGAAGATGATGGAAATATTGGTAGTAGTTGTGGAATGTTGTTAGATTAGATTAAAAAAAAATTTTTAATAAATTTCTTTCTTTGTCTTGCTGGTACATATATTCATTTGCTTTTAATTTTACTATTGAAATACTTCTCTTCTAAATTCTAGATCTCTTTCGTTAATTGTATCTAAAATTTAAACTTCTATTTGACTATCGAGTCAAAATCTTAAGATTTTGTGAGTAACTTAACAATATTGCAAAAAATTTTAATCCTTATATACAATATATATAATATATATATACTGTGTATATAATTAATTTATATATATTATAATAAATTATTATGATTATTATTAAAATATAAATGCATAATATAATTTAATTTAAAAGTTGAATTTTAAACACTGGTTACATCTTAGGATTTTATAAAATTCCAACAACTTTAAACAAATAAAATCACCGAAATCGTTGAGTTGCGAATTACCTAATTCGACTCCCAATTATTTCAATATCCAGATACTTTTAATAATTTCTAGTCGCCAAAACTATCAACTGAATTCGATGATGGAATAACCACCATACTGCCTTCAGAAAAAACCGAACTTTCAAAACAAAAAACTTAAAGGTCTTTGTGAATCCTTTGAATTTTCAAACTGAATTGTATGAAATGCTTTATTATTCTTTGTGTTAAAAATCTAAATTAATACTTCAATTCAATTTATGAAGTCCAATAATACATATTGTAAAATATATATGTATATATAAACTATCTGTTGTTATATATGATGAGGTCATTTAAAACATTATCAAGTGTTTCTTCGGTAAATACAGGTTGCCCATCTTGAAATGCACCTTTTGCCTTTATACATTCTATTCCTAATTTTTCGATTTCTGCTACGTCAACTTTCACCTGTGAATTATCCAAGTAAATTAGATGTGTTATATAATGCTTCACAGGATATTCTTTGGGCCAGAACCCATCAAATCTCAATGAAGAATTACACCCATCCACAATAGACTTTATGAAATCTAAAGCAGTGAATTGATCAGTTTCACGATCATTTGAGCCATTGAGAATCAGAATCTTGTTTTTCAATGTGGTAGACTCGGCTATTGCTTTGCCAACTCCACGCAGGATTAGGCAAGGCATAATGGACGTATATAAAGAACCGATGGAATATATGAGTGTTGATTTCGTTGAAAGACTATCGAACACTCTTGAATTTACGAAGGGAAATATTTCTTGCCCATATTCATTAATGTAATATATCCGGTGAATTCGACGATTTAATGAGGCTACGTTGGATTTATCGAAAATAAGATTGCTTTTCGAACCAGTATTTATAGAATCAAAAGTTTCAGTAGATAAATTTAAATGATCAACATCTGAAGGTGAATTTTGTGGTTTTTGGGATGGATGCGAAATTTCACATTGACCAGTTATTATGCTTCCATTATCAAGTTCTGCCGCGATAGCCACAGTATGATTAGTATTAATTATTGGGATCACTTTCGACGACTCGCTAATTCCCGTTATTGCTGCAAATATAAAAATTGCACTCTCTAACGATCCACAAAAAATTCGTGCTCCAGTAAGAAAGAAATTGCCAATACTACCATTGCGAAAGTCGAATTTCTTGTGTGCTCGCCTTAGAATTTCTAATTGAAAGTGTACTAAAAATCCACGTATAGCTCCTTTTTTTTCAGGAGAGATACCCTGCCAAAGTCTTGAAACAGACCAAATATCAGATAAACACATGCCTTTCAACTGTTCTATGTAAAATGAACAAATACATAAAATAACTTACTTATGAGTACCTTCAACCACTTCTAACCATTCATTCTTTATGTCCGTATC